GGGAGGTGGCACACGTCTAGGTGAAGCGCGCGCGTTCATGTTTTCCTTTCGTTTACGCGACTGCGAAGAAGCGTCCCAGACGGTGCGACTCTGAAAGATGCCTCGTGTATGCTGATGGTATCGTTCTGCTTCGTTACTCCCCAGCTGGCGTGCAAAAACCGATCGATGCACTATCACCCTATTGCGCGATGAACGAGCTTCGAGTGAATCTCAAAAAGTCGCACGTGATGGTATTTCGCCGAGGGGGAAGACGGAAAAGATACGAGCAGCGGACTTTCGAAACACGATCCGTCGCGGTAGAACCAAATTCCACTACATACCTTGATATCCCCTTCGGCGCTTTCGGATCGTGGGGGCCGTGCCAAGTCTCGTTGGCAGCAAGAGCATCGAAAAGGTGCGAAGTGTTCCAGACCCTCGAACCCTCGGACCCTCGCAGCGCAGACATCGGATTCAGGAACCATCCCAATCGTGAGTCCTTCTCTTTCCGGATTCATTTCGGATCTCGCACGCACGAACGGTAGCGGCACACTCGGGCACAGTGCTTTTTCTTTGGATCCCATCCAGTAATTGTCATTTTCCCCGACTCGATGGTCGATATCACGCTCGAGAAAAAGTTTGCATTTCGAATACGTGAGGCAAACCACCGGCGATATCATCGACGGGATTTGGCAAATTGAGATTTTGTAGATCGAGATGAAGCAGATTACGAACGAGTTTCGATATCCAGTTGCCGAAATGAAAAGTCGACGATGCGATCTTTGGAATTTGTCCCTTCCCCCAATCGACTCCACGTTCGCCGAATCGCGATCGTCCCGCTTCGTCTCGATCCTTGACCTCAACAAAACTCGTGACGGCGATAAACAAAACTCACATCGTTTTTGGAGGTAGAGGTAAGGAGTGAACTTTTTTTTCCTCCTCGACATAGGATAAAAAAAAGTTCGCTTCGGCGTTGTTCTCATTTGACATTCACCGTTTCATTCATTCGGCTGTCAGGAATTCGACATAATTAGTCATCGACGATCGGACTGCCGACATGTGGTTTCAATAGACATGGACAACGCGGGTAGGGACAAAAATCTTGACTGCATCATGGGGATCGGCGATGTTGCGAATTAAATTCATGCCGTAGTCGGATCCAGCGTAGCATTTCTCGCAGATAATTCGCACGTCCGCTCTGAAATTCGAGTCACTGTCAAGATTCACTTTCAAACGCTTCGCATATCTCGAAGGTTGAGTAGGTCTGCTCCCTCCTTCGATAGTTCTAAACGTCAACTTCCGAAGAGGGATATTGCATAGTTTCTTGTTGGTCGTGATCGTTTCTACGCATTCCTCCGAATATAACCAGCAGTCCTTGTTCTGACCGTTGTTCGAGACGAGAAATGTGTCGTTTTCGGAGTCGGCGCAGGAGCGGATCGATGCCACTAGGACATTGTCAACTGCGTACTTCCGAATGATCGGATATCGTTCCCAAATACTAAGTCAGTGGCCTACGTGGACATCCATATCTACAACTATGTCAAAATGGTTCATGCATAACCCAAAATCATTGTAAGAGTGAGCAATTGGGTTATCCGTACGATAATTCCGCTGTAGCAGAATTAGGTATCAAGGTAGTTCAGTGGTATCAAGGGGCGATAACAGCCTTTGGATACCAAGTGTAGAGGTGGAGCGTTCCTTAATTTTAGGGTAGACCTACTCCTCTTAAAGCTAAATGTTTTATATTTTGTGATTTTTTAAAATAGCATATCCTAGTTGCTTACTGCCTAGTCCCTTACGTCAACATTACTCCCCTTGTTGCTCGTCCATAAAAGCATCTAGTTTCTTCTTTAAAATAGGTACGGCGCGGGGCAGCCGCTACGTCGTCGTCTAACGCATTCCACGCGTTCACCACTCCACAAGTAAAGAAGTCCTGTCTCGACCTGAGCCGCACCTGTGGTTTATGCAACTTGAGTCGATTACCTCGCATTCTCTTGCTGCCATCGAACTGGAAGAATCGACCACGCTCTAAATAATCTATTCCTTTAATTATCTTGAAAGCCTGGATGAGATCGCCCCTCCTTAATATTTTTTTGTTTTGTTTTTGTTTTTTTTTTTTGGTTTTTTGACTATCCTAATTGCTTACTGTCTAGTACCTAACGTCAACATCGCCCCCCACCTTTTTGCCTGTCCATGAAAGCATCCAGTTTCTTCTTAAAGATAGTCTTGGCGCGGGGCAGCCACTACCTCCTCATCTAACGCATTCCACGCGTTCACCACTCTGCAAGTAAACAATTCCTGTCTCGATCTGAGCCAGCACCTGCGTATTTTGCGCAACTCAAGTCGGTTACCTTTCGTTCTTTTGCTGCCATCAAACTGGAAAAACCTACCATACTCGACATCATCTATTCCTTTAATTATCTTGAAAGCCTGGATGAGATCGCCCCTCCTTAACCTTCTTTCTCTCGTACAGTCCCAGCACTTCTAAACTCTTTACGTACGAAGTCCCTTACGCCAACAATTCACCCTTATTTGTAGGCCTCCAAATTGGATGCAATATTCCAACTGGGGTCTTACCAGCGCCCCATACAACGGAAGAATAACGCGGGAGTTCCTACTTGCAACCGAAAGACGAATGAATCATATCATTCTGTTACATTTGGCCACCGTCACTTGCGCGTGCGAGAAAAACTTGAGGTCTTCGTCGAAAGAAACTCCTAGATCACTCTTTCCGTTAGCCTCCCCCAGTTTATCCTCGCCAAACGCGTCGAAAGACCTACCGTTATTTTGATCGACGTGGAGAACTTTACTAAGCCATTTCTTGCTCCACTAATCCAAAAGACTCAAATCTCGCTCGGCTCTGGTCCTATCCGCCTCCCCCCTTACAGAAAAACCTATTTTGGTGTCATCGGCAAATTTACTTATCATACCCTCTACGCCTATATCCAAATCATTAAGTAGACCAAAAGCAGAAGCGATCCCAGGACCGAGCCCTGAGGGACACCGCTTGCTCGCCCGACCTCTGTCGACGCTTCCCCATTTACCATTACTCGTTGCTGTTGTTAGGAATAGACTTCGCTGCACGAATGAGAAAGCGTCGTAAGTTTCCTTCCAAAAAGATCAATTGTGAACCCACAGTATGTCAGGGAATGAAAGGCCACAAGTGCAGAGGGCTCAAGTGGCTCGAGCGACTGGCAGGTTGGTCATCCGATTTGCGAATGCCTCTGCTTAGTATGTTTTCTGTATCTGATGGGATACAATCCTCTTCACCTCAAAGAACCCTGATTGCAGGAAAACTTCAGAAAATTAAATAAGCAGGACTTTTATAGACATCAAGCAATAAATATTTTCCTATTATTATCCCTCCTATCCAATGTCAACACTTCTTATAGCCATGGAGAAAGACTCTAAAAAGAGTATCACACAAGGGAAGAGGAAAAAAAAGAGGGGGGGGGGATTTTGCATTTTACTTTGCTCTCCTTGCACCTACCATGAAACCTAGAATAGTTGGACCAATAAGAAAGCACATACTATAGCAGAAGATTCAAATCTATTCAGAGATGGTTGAGAAGAATAAGAATGATACTGTATGTTTTTAATTTATACAGTCTGAGAGCGAGTCAATGATGCAATTTCTAAGATACCACTAATTTAAGATCTGATTCAAAAATGGAAAATGATTCGTTCTCCTATGGAGACCCTCCATGCTTAAAAATCAGCTATCAACTAGCAAAGTGAGAGGAAGCATGACAACAAATGAACATCTCTTATCTCTTTGGCTTGGGAGAAATTAAAGAGCACCAAAAAGCAAATTCAACTCTTCACTGCATTTTGTTCCCAATTGGGAACATACTGGAATAATTATTATGTACTGGGTGTTGCACATCGATAGCCCTCCCCTCCACAGCCTAAACTATAAGAGCTAGGAAAATACTTTACATATATTTGAAATCCTTGTTAATTCAGAATCGATTCCATCCCATTTTGTTTTCTTTTTTCTGATGTCATATGATGATGAACTTAATTCATTGATCATGGGATTACATGCTATTACATTTTGAGCTCACGATGCCAGAGCTGAATTTGTCATGGGTTTCGAAAAAGGTTAACCAATCAGCTTCTGCCTGATGAAGCCTTATTTTTCAAAGCTTTGATCACACTGCAATTGCTGAAAGACTTAGGGATTGACTTTTTTTGGAAATGCAGAGTGGTCAGGAAAATCTCCTGATTTGAATGCGGCTGAGAACTTTGAAAGACCGAGTTGAGGCTCATGCACATGGAGGGCGAGCAGCATGGATTCTCCTGGGAAGCCTTGCAGAGTGACATCAGTAGGGTGTTGAAGGACATGGAAGATGACACCGAACTCTTTAAATGCTTCTTTTCATTTTACTCCGCTTGTATTAACATTCTGAGACAGAGCCAGGGTGCATAAAATTATGAGAAGTACATGTTAGATTCGAAAAATGAATGCTCTTTCTCATGATATGCGAGTTTTTTTCCTAGCTCTTATAGTTTAAACTGTGGAGGAGGGGTTATCTACGTGCAACACCCGGTAAAACGGCTGAAGACTCACTGCTTGGCAGATGGGCAGATGGCAGATTCTTTACATAATGCTCCCAATTGAGAACAACATTAAAATTCTTATACATATGCTTATTGCCAATTGGAAACATTGAAAATATTTGGTCAGTATCATACTTGAATTAAGATCCTCAGCCAAACTTCAATGCAAATTCAAAACTAAAAAAAAAAACTACTGCACATATATCTTCAAATTTTTTTTACGACATATTTTGCCTTACATCATTTTACATCTTTCCCTGACATCATACATATTATATCTATTACAGTTTTTTTCCTTTTGCTAATCTCCCTTATCTTCCAAAAACCCAAAGAGCAATAAATCGACCTAATTTTGGCAATTGATGGAATATATTCTTTTGGTACCTTTAAGAAAATGAGTGGGGAATTTCAATGTTTTTTCTCCAAGACTCTCATATACCATACAGTACAGGGTTTATTCTGCCTGGAATATATCCTTGAGATCACAGTAGAGTGGGTAACATAGCATCTCCACTTGTGCATTGCCTGAGAACAAGCTCAGCTGCAGAAGGATAAGAGCATCAAGAGAATGACAGGCAATACATGGAATCATATCACCGGATGTTTACTGGGAAGAAGAAAGAATATAGCAATACATCTCTAATAGGAAGCTTGGAATGTGGGCAATATATTCAGAGAAACCTCTGACACCACCTTCTGTGAGCATTTGAATGTCGCAAGTCACTTTCCTGCATCCCTGCAGAGAGTTCCATCTCATGCTTGAGCAAAGCACCTGTATTAACTGGCTCTCTCTCCTTTGTCCCATGAAGGAGATGAAATAAGAAGTACCTCCTATGGTTCCATAGTGCTTCATGACAAGGATAGGTTCTGATTAGCTCCTCATTACTCTGCAGCTCTTCTACAAGAAGCTCAATGAAGATATTGGCAGATGACAGTTGGATGTGATCCCCATGGGGAGACCTGAGAACTTGTCTCAGGTTTATTGCTGTATCATGAGACTCCTGTTCTGATCTCTGCTGAAGTGCAGTCAGGAGATGTTCCATGTAGTGCATAGCAGAATGATCAGACACATGCATTGCAACCCACTGACGCACAGATGCCAATTCACAGCACAAAAGAGAAATGGGAATATTGGGATCTAAGTGCTGCACTGACCAGATGCGATGACTCCATGCATGAATGTTATTTGCCTCACGCTGGGCATACTTCCCACACAATTCCAACTCCTGTCGTAGAAGCCTTTCCATGGTAGTACAATCCTGATGAATGACTCGAGTCAGCAGCCATCGGCGGTGGGAAAACGTCTCAGCACTCTTGGGTTTTCGACTTAAGGACAACTGAGAGATTTGTAGGTCAGAGAATGGAGAGAGGTGCCCTGCCATGATCAGATCCTTCCTCTGATTCCATGCTGAGTGGAAATCTGGGTTCAGGAGGACAGCCATTGATGACCACAGCTTCAAGCCCTCAATCTCTGGAGAAAGAGGAAAGAAATTGCATTAAGAACTTGAGATAACAAGTGTAATTCTCCATGCTGACATGACAATTTCCAGGAAAATAGGATATAAAAGTTTTGGACATGATGGAGAAAACTGAATAATCTCTTTGAAAGGCTACATAATACATATGACATAACAATAGTTTTCATAATTTCATTATCACTTTCACAAGTGCTTAGTTTCATGAGACCTAACTTTCTTTTGCGCTTAGATTAACCCTACACTGCATGGTGCCAGATATGGCACACTCTGCTTTGCATTGAAAAATATTACAGTACAATGGAAAAACCAAAATGAAAGGATAATTTTTTCATTAGATTTCTCATCAACCACATGGAAAAATACAATTGACAAAAATGAATTTTTAAAAAAGCATGCATTGTATGGTTAATTAGAACTGGGTTTTAAATTCAAGCTTTTCTTCCTTCATAAGATATGCAAATATATCATCTTTTCCTGGAGAAAATAATGGTCAAATGATCTCTTCATGTCCTGAATTTCTATGGAAGCTTCTTCTAACTTCTTCCTGAGCATGTGCCTGGGTTTCAGTATGATCATTCTAATTCAATTCATATCACTCTCCTCCTGTTTCACTCAATTCCTCTTAATTCCAAACACAATTTTTTAGCACATTTTCTACTGAAATGCACAGTGCAAGGTTTAGATTGGGAGTCAATGCTCCAGTAGTTGAAACCAAAAACACAAATCCACTGGAAAATATATGCTGAGCATCCCTAAGACATCAGTCATACTAGGAAACAGAAATTGAAGATGATGTCATACATTGTCCTATACTGAGGCAAAAGAATATGCACAAAAACTTCTGAATAGACAACAAAAACACCGCTCACTGAAAAATGGATGAAATTAAGTCTGTTTAAAATGATGTGCAAGGATTCGAGAAGGTATGGTTAAGATCAAGTCATGGTTATCTTTCAGTTCCAAAACTCCAAACTCATGTTCCAAACTAATAATTGTCATGAAAAGAGAGTCTGAAATTCAACTAAGTCTAGCCCAGAACTGAATCTAATTACTGGCTTTCACACTCAATCTTTATCAAGTTGCAGGATTCAATCACTCAAGTAACTGATTTTGCCATAACAATAACTACTCATAGCACTAAAACAGGAATTTCCCAGACAAATCCTCCTATAATTCAGCTACAGGAGAGTAGCATCTGCTTTCCTTCAACAATGGCAATATGGAATAGAGTTCCTTACTCTCATGTCATTCGTAACTCACACTATCTGACATTCTACTTCGGAATCAAATGTCGATATTTTTCATTTAACCACAACTTGGTATTTTCAATTTCTCTAATCTTCTCAAAACCTAATACTGATATCTAGGAAAAGAAGCATCTACCAATAATATTTCATTTTGGTTAATAATGTGCTATGTTCAGGGGACTTGCATTTGAAACCAAGTAGGGTGTTTCTTTTAGAGTGCAAGCCCCAGAAGACTCAATCATGGATCTTGCATCTCTTCTGCCTATTGGTATAATGCATGTTACCCACCCTACAGGAAATTGGTAATTCAAGGGGAAAAGGTAAGAAACTACTGGTACTTCCTATGTAGTACAGAAGAAACATTATAACATAGCAAGCCAACAAAGAACAATGAGGATCTAAAACAGAATATGGTAGAGATACCATCAATGGTGAGCTTTGACTTCTTGAATCCAAGCATCATGTGATGAGCATGAGAGTAAACATAGGGTATGCACCAGGATTCCAGAGCCACATTGTGGCCAATGCAGACCACTGGGCTCCGATTCTCCCTGCTCTCTCTTGGAATGATATCAAAGTCTTCTCTGAAAAAGAAAATCACATAACATGTATAAATATCAATATCAGAACTTGCATATTTACTGAAATACAGACTCAAATACACTGAAATTACAAGTGCATTTTAATTCAGCTTATGTTAAATCTCTGGCATGGTACAAAAGAGGGAATCCTGATCAGCTGAGATCATAAACATTCTGCAAACATTCAGCTTTGCATTTGTTGGCAAATGGATGGGTTTTCCATTGTGACATGGCAATGGAACCCAGCAGGGATCAATGGGAATTTTCCAGCATTTCGCATTCTCAACACATTTGCTATCACATCTGACCTTTGGTCGAATAGGCCTTTTCAAGCTTAGGTTACTGTATCCGACTTAGATTGAATAAAAACAGGTGAGAACATTTCTCATTCAAATAGTTGTCAGACCATGTACTTTACTCTTCTGTCCATAGATGGTAGCTGTATGAACTTTTCCTTGTTCTCGAATGTACGTTGGTTGGTCACACATGCATTCTTTTATCATTTGCTTAAGCCCTAAGAAAAATGGCAAAGTAAGGGCCACCTGATGACATGCAGGATGGTGGTAGCATATGTGTTAAGTCAGAGAAATGGGCAACTATGCCATCAATATGGACTAGATAATATCCACAGCTTCAATACTAAAAAAAAAAAAAAAATTATATGGCAACGCTCCATTGTAACCCATGACATTTCCTTGTCTAGACCAGTGGTCCTCAACCAAGCTGCAGAGGTGTCATGGGTGGGTCATGACAAGCATCTGTAAATCTAAACATTGGAATTAACAGTTTGACCAACAAAAATTATACAGCTTTGAAGTCTGTAGAGGGCAATGGATCACTTTTCAATTGTTAGCAATACTGACCAAACCTGCTGCTTTCATTTCTTTCATTTCCATGCCCTCAAATTTTTTTGGAGAGCAGCCTAAGCCTAGGCCAAGCTATAATTGACTTAAAATTTACTGAAAAATACCCTCATGCCACAATCTACGTCATGGCCCATTTCTACGACAGGTATGCAATTCCAATTAGCCTATAACGTTAGAGGTCCAACATCAGACTCACAGGTTGGGGATAGTAGCAAGGGCATCCCTTAGGTCACAAGCTATTCTCCGACACAAGCTGGCTTCTTCCTCGGGAGACGTAGGCTTATACATAGGCCTGATATTACAGACCTACAGGCCTAATGTTAGGACCAGGCCTATCATGAGCATTCGATAATCCTCATCTGCTCTTCCAAGGTTCGAGGAGCTCCATGTCGAAGCGAGCACATGCGCATGATCAAGACATGATTATTGCGAAACCTGATGAAGAGGACAGGCCTTCATCTCCGTACTTTAGCCTTGGCAAAAAGGTAGGGCTGACCGCACGAAAGACCGTATTGTGCGAAGACCGCTGTCCTTGAGCAGAGCAGTTTGCACTGACGAAGCACGTGGCACTCAAGCGAAACACCATCGTCCTTCCAGTGTTGCCAGTCGACAGTGTTTCGTCGAATTTCGCTCCGAAAATGGATCGTAATATCAATACACGTGGGGCATCTTCTCCTCTTCCACATGAGCTGAATGAGTCTTTCAAATAATTTCTGGCTACATCCCAGCGAGTGGTCCTACTTTGAAGACTCTCTTGAAGGAAATGAAGAAGTGAAACAGCGAAATCCCTTTATAACCTCAAATTGTTTTGGTATGGGGGGGAATCCATTGTAAGCAATTTTTTTGACATGGGCATCCAGTCAAGGGCGCAAAATCTCTTCGTTCAATGCAGAATTTCGCTGCATCTGAGTTCGTTACAACGGAAGTTCATCAAACTCACATCATCGTTTCACGAATCACATGGGCTTCAAATATGAAAAATATCAAAGTCTCATGTCACAGCAAAAAAATATAAGATTCCTGCATTAAATAGAGGTACTATCAAATGGAGAGTATTTCATAATGAAATGCTTCAAAACAATAATGAATGCAATCGATCGTCACACGATATTATGACATAATGCACACGACGAACTAAGCAGGCGGATGGCGCTCGTGCATCGTTGCGTGACTCCAAATGCAGAACTGCAGTTTTTGGCGAAAAACGGGCTCCCAAAATAGTGCATTCGTAACTGAATTCATCAGGATGTGATAGGCGAGCTGACAGTAATTCGTCCGGGATTGTCCTCCTGCAGAAAGGAGAGCAGCTTTTAAATTGCTTATACTTGTTTACTTCCTTACCGGCAACTTTCTCGATTTGGCTCCGTTAAGCTTTAACCGGCTCTTTACGTCTATACCACATGCCCACGTGCATCCTAACATGCCTTTATGTACTCTCACAAGCTCTCGTGCTTCTTGGAAAACGTTCTGTCGCGTTAAGTAAAGGGTTTGGATTGCTCATTAGCCGATGGATCGGCTAATGAGCAAAACCGCAAACTTCACCTCCCCTCCCCACAGTCGTTAGGAAAGACCTTGCATACCTTTTTATTTTCTAGATCTCACGGCCGACCACCCTCCTTCATCCCCCCCCTTTCCCGCAAAGATCGAAGATCAGGAACTCCCATAATTAATGACGGCATAATACGATTGTCCGCCCCATCCTTGGCTCCCCACCACCCGGAATCTGGTGGATCCCACTGAATGATCGTGTTCCTGGTTCCCTCCACGTGCCAACCACCTTCCCTCTCCACCCGGCAGACCGCCTCTAACCGCAGCGCTTTCACCTCGAGGTCAGAGAATCCTCGCGGAGGACTATAAAACCCCCGCTCCTCGAGCGACCTCCCCACCGACCTCTCTCCGCCGACCTCTCTTCCCCGAGCGATCCTCCCCGCTGCATCCAGCTCGACCAAACTCGTCCGTCATGAAACTCGTGAGTTCCTCGTTCTCTCGACCCATTTCGCTTTCCGCTGTGTTCGTCTTTATCGAGTTCAGAGGGAATTCGCGACTGACGTCGTGAAATCGTCGAGGCGATGTTGAAACCCGGAATGGCACGAATGGGCATGATATTAGCATCAGTTTTCATCCATATTTGAAATCGATATTAATATCCACATATCGATTCGGACTCTCTCGAAAAGGATTCGAATGAATACATCTGGCCATCATTGCAACCGACGCGTAAAAAAAAATCTTGGATTGCGGAAAGAACTCGATGAGAATTTGCGTTTCTCCTCGAGGCATCCGCAGGTTCATCTGTCGGGCTGGTTCCACATCTTTCTTATATCGTACATCTCGAGCATCGCCACTCCAAGTATTAAAATTGGCGTTGAAGTCTGACGTCTAGTGCGGTCACACGTTTTCTTTCCCACCGCAATTTTTCATTTTGCATCGTTTTGGATCAATGAACGTAGATTTAAGACGCGAGACGATCGAGAAATCCCCCCGTTCTACTCCATCAACGACTTAAACGAGTTCAAATCATGCCTTTTTCTCCCCCTTTTCTCCTAAATGCAGACCCTGGTATTCCTGGTTCTGCTCGTCATCTTTGCAGCAGTATTCGCCGAATCCCCTCTCAAAGAAGAGGAGGATTTGGAAGCGGTAGAAGCCAGATACCGCGGCAAGTGCTCCAACTTTTATGCGCAGAAAAGTTTTCAATTTTCTTTGAACCACGAATGAAACGCCGGTCGTCTCTTTTACCAGGTAGTCGTTCCGGCGGAAAAGGTCAATCCGGAGGAGGACGCAGTCATTACAGAGGAGGACGCGGTCATTACAGAGGGGGACGAAGCCACTCCGGAGGAGGACGTGGGAATTACGGAGGAAAGTACTTGGGCTGAAGAGCTTCCCTTCCGCGACGGTCGACAAAAATCACAAGGCCTTTTCTTCTCTCCCACATCTTCGTGTTTCTCGACCTCCACAATAAAGTCTGTCTTTTCCTCATCAGAATTTATTTCCGATGTGGAACCCTTTCGGGGCAGATTAGGAAAGCGAGACTCGACTCTGCCTTTCGACTGGAAGCGACCTCGGCATCCTGAGATGCGACCGCATGCAACCCTTTCTGCATTCCCTCTGATACCGTAAAATGAAATTGATTTTCCCTTGAGCTCTCATTCCGATGAATTCTCACAATGGAGCCATGCATCAATATTTACGAGGGCGTTTCAAACGAAACCCGGGACAAACGTGTTTTTATTCATTATGAAGTAATGTGAAAACCAATTTTCAAATGACTTCCCCTCTCTTCAACCCCCCTCCCCCCCACCTCTCTACGGGATTCACTAACGTTAAGCCTAGGCCTAACCAAAAGACTGCCTTCAGGTCACGCTAAGGCCTACCTTTTCTTTTCAAAAGAAACTCAATTCTCGACTTATGGTGCCAATTAGGCCTAAAAGGGTGAATCGTGATCTTCGAGACATCTGGTTGAGGACGTGTAACGTTAGGCCAATCGCAAGCCAATTCATACGTTCATGAACCACTTCAGAGGGACGTGGAACGTTAGGCCTATTTGGAGTTCCCCCGAACCATCTCGAATAGGTCAGAGGAGAGAATACCCTCAAGAAGTATGGAATCCATAGTACGCGCCATACTGTTAATTCAGGGATGTCCGGATAAGATATCTCCATCTCCCACCACATTGATCAATAACTGCTAACCACAGCTTCATTCTCAACTCATCTCATGAACTCAGCACAAAAATATATCGTACATTCAAAAACAGAAGATCCAGACGCCAATATGAAAGATGAAACAGTCTTGAATCTGGCATAATTTCGGCGCGGTATCCGGCAACATTGGGGGGCGGTATCGGAGCGTGCACTCCAAGCCTAAATGAACGACAGTTAATTTCATTTTTATGGCGAAATGGAGCATCGCAAATAACAAAAAAAAACCTTTCCGTCATCTACAAGTACCCACGTACTCTCCCACATCTCATATTGTCTCCCAGTATACACTTCCTGCTCCTCATCCAATATCTTAGAATAAATTCCCAAATTAAAAAATGCTTAAGAATAACCCAGAAATGTTCAGCACGTCACCCATCCACACTGCTTCTAAAAAAAACCTGACTGGCTCTACTTTGATAATCTTGCACACTTTGAAACTGCCTCCCCATGCCACAAAACTCTGAGCAAACCCTCCCCACTCGATCTTCAAGCTTTCACAGCTCCCACTCACCAGCGCAATACACGCTTTGCTAATGATAAAAACTATGCATTCCCTCTGGTACAACCCTTTCCTTTCATCGTTCTTTCCACTACAGAGCAACGAAATTTTGGAACTCACTCCTTGTTAACATTTGCAACATTCCTGTTCATAACAAATTTAAATTAACAGTCTAAAAATACACCTACAAACCATTAATTAATTATCATAGTCTCATTAATTTATATATTCTGTGGTGGATCCCCACAATGAGATCCTCCTGATCATCTGTGCCTCTCTTCCCACGGACGACCAGCCTCAAGGCTGATTTCATTTGTATATACTGTCTTATCTGCTGTCCAATTTATTTCTGTCCCAATAAAGAACATTATTATTATTAGTATCCTTCTTGTGGTTGGTCTCTTTCCTCCGAAAACCCCCAGGAGTGGCTATCCAAGGGGGGGGGGGGACTGAATGTAATTCACATCCTCCAAAAACAAGATTCAGTGTTCCACAACCTCGGGGAGATGGAACTTCAAATTTGCTGGAGCGATTCTATGGTGGGAGAGGAAGAGATATGCCAAATTTAGTTCCTGTTGATGCTTTCAGAGAGGAATACGAGGAGATTGAATTTTGCGGCGGGAAGGGGGTTGAAGAAAGGTAATACGCGCTACCAAAGCCTATTGACTAATCGAATATTCAATATATTTTTTGACGGAACTCACGAGCCGGTGCTTTCATTTTGATACCATAGAGACTCGAGCAGAGGCAGTAAAAAACGGCGGTACGACTCGAGAACAAAGATGGAATTTACGAGGGTAGTTTGACATTGAGTGAGAATCTCAAGTACGCGTGCGTCCACATTACTTCTTTACTGCGATTCTCACTCATTGTCAAACTACCCTCGTAGGTATGAAAAGATTTTTGACCGCAGAAGGAGCGAAACCG